AGTGCAGTATCGGTACTTTTAATCCACTACTTTCCTTCAACCTGCAGTGACTACTTTATTTTTTCCAGTCTATGGGAATTGGAAAAATCAGTCCTGTGATTCCTGTCCAATCAAATTGCACATAGAAGTAAAGAGATAAATCGCATCATAATGAACTACCTCAAGACAAGGGCCATTTATAATTGCATCAAACTGTTTGGAAGCATTAAAAGTGTCAGGGATATGTCCAACATCTTTCCATGCAATGACAGAGAGACTGTTTAGATCCATGCCACTGATGAGAAGATGACGGATGATTACAGTATGATGGCCGAAATGGCACTGAGCAGGCACAAGACGTCAACATGACCTCAGATTGACAGTGTACCTTAACATCGTGGGGACGTTACATTTTGTTTGGAAATGAAAATCGAGTTGAATGTCCAACATCCAACCTAAAAGTAACCAAATATCAACATCTAATGATGTTACAACTTGACATTGTGTGGACGTTACCACTATGTTTATCAGACGTTGGATTTTGGTTGCCATATCTGATGAATAAATGTCAGTATTTGATGTCAATATGACACTGGTTTAAGTTAATGTTGGCTCCACTTTGGATTTTGGTCACTTTATAACACAACCTAAAATCAACCAAACATCAACGCCGTTTCACGTTGTTATTGGCCATCAAAATAACATTATCCTTAGATGCTGACTAGATGTCATTTTTTTATTATTAAATTATTTAATTATTATTAAAATATATTAATGTTTTGAAAGGGCCAGTGAAAATTTTTTCTAACTGGGATATTTAAACAAAATCCTTAGCATTTAGCCCTGTATAGGTCTAAAATGTTATTTATGATGGTCTTAAAAATGTTTTAAGTCATAAATGTAACTTGGTGAAACCTGTAGAAACCCTGAAAAATAGTAAATCCAATGAATCACTTTATTCAGTGCAAAAACAGACAAAAATATATAAAACATACAGAGATGGCTTGTTTTTTTACAATAAGGGAAATGTAAATTACATTTAAAATAGAATCACAAGTGTATAGAAACAAAGGAAAAAAATGAAAGAGGACATGAAAAGGAAATCAAATTCATGCAGAATTAAAACAAAGCACAAATTGTTAAAGTTTAGACTGTTTTCTTATTACTAGACATTGAAATTGTACTGTACAGATCTAACTCTTTTAAAAAGTACTTTTAAAAAGTACAGATCTAACTGTTGTTAAAGTAATTTTAGTACAGTACAGTACATTTACGTTTATGAAACTTTTCAACAAGAGTATGCAATCGTGGTGTGTGTTTGTATATTTGAAATTATAGCAAATTTCAAATATTCTAAATTATTATTTAGTATTTTGGCGATTAACTTTGATCCTAAAATAAAGAAAATAATAATATGGCGTTCATGTTTTAAAAAATTGCTATATAATAAATAACTACATTTATTGTACACTGAAAAATTGTTGCATGCAGAACTGTTGCAAACTATTTATTTATGTTGAATTTAAACAAACAAATTAAATTTAATAATGTTCAACTTAATTTGTTTGTTTAAATTCAGTCCAAATAAATAGTTTACAACCACTTAATGTAAAAAAAAAATTAGTAAATCCAAGGAATCATCTTTGAATATTTTTTTCAGTGTTCATAATATACATATATAATTACATTTTAGTGGATCTCCTGCAAATCATGGTAAAATGTATAATATTTTTAAGGTTTTAATATTAATATTAAGGTTTTTATATATTATTATTATTGTTGTTTTATTATTATTATTATTATTATTATTATTATTATTATTTTGTTTAAAAATAACGAAACATTAATATAAATGAATAAATAAATAAATAAATGCGAGCACATTTAAAAAAAATTTATTTCAAGGCTTGGTTTAGATCTGCTGTATATACACTGTACATGCATACATTTATTCCACCAGTATTGCTATTTAAAATCTCTTTACACAGACAGTAAATCTGTGATGTGAAGTCTTTATTTTTTTTAGAATCATTACATTACGTCATGCTGGTAAAAAAGAAAGATCAAATATAGTTTTATCTTTCATGCCATGCATATTATCCATTATGTAAGCAGACTGGGACTGTTCGCCTAAATGTACAAACAACATTCTTTTGAAACTTTCAGGCAAGACAGTGTTTATTCAGTAATTGCCCACTCATTAGGACGTTTTGCACTGTTTTACCCATAGTAAATGAATAGGTAACTATGGAAACAGTGGTTAGCTTTTTCTTTAAACAGTACCCTCATATGCCTCAATATGTACGCATTAAATATCTTCAAATGATTGTGCAGCCTTAACATCTTCTTTGTGGAGAAATAGCTGCATGGAGGCTGAAAGTTTATTGGCTGCATCCAAAAATCAGTTACTTTAAACTTTTAAAAAGAGCAAATGATTCAGCATTCACACAATATTTATTCCTTTTTATTTATTTATTTACTTATTTACTTATTTATTTATTTAAAATAAAAAACAAAGCAAAAACAAAACAATGATAATTTTGTTCAAACAATATTTTTTACTTGCAAGTAGTTTCTTGTGATTTTAATCGTGACACATGAATAGAATGAGCGGAACAATGGACACTCATCAGGTGAATTATGATATTAAGATAATTATAAAATAGATAAAAAAGCACACCCGATGTGGTGAGGCAGAGTTTTTTCTAATAATTCAAAGGCCCATTGTCAATTATTCCTTACATTTACTCATATTATTTATTCATAGGTAGTTTTTACAAATAATAATTAAGTTTAAATAGTTACTGTCTTCCATTTAAAGTTATTATTGTGTGTACACGGTATCTGTGTATATTTAATATTTGACTGAATACTTACACTCAAAAAATGTTTTGCTGCTTGTTCGAACTACTTATTTAAAATAAGCTGAATTGACACAATTCTTAAGGTTTTAAACTTAATTTTTTTACACTCACCGGATAAGTTGGTGGTTCATTCCGCTGTGGCGACCCCAGGTTAATAAAGGGACTAAGTGGAAAAGAAAATGAATATATCAGTGAATCATTTTGATTCATTCACGTTTGTCCAAACGAGTCATTAGCGATTCACTGGTCAAACCGTGCGTGAATAAAGTGGGAGGTTTTTATATGCAAAATAAAACTATTACAGCAACAAAACACACAAGAAGGATTAATTATGCACTTGATTAAAACTGCACTAAAGCATGATTGTGTTTAAAATAACTGAATATCTTAGCAGGACACCACAGCTTCAGAGGAAACAATGCTGATTAGTGCTACATTTACATATTCAATCTTAATTCTCTAAATGAGAATTAACACTCAGGCAGACAACGGGTGGCATCATTTTCCTTTTAAGAAAAAACTTAATGGTGCCACAAGATGTATCAAACGGGCCCGCGTGCAGCACAATCATCATTTCAATAAGAAGAGCGCGCGCATTCACCCTCTGCCATTTACATCTCTCAAAAGCATGCGCCTTTCAAAGCTGCCGTTCCTCACAATGCTGTCATACACAAAAATCATCATTCACTGAGTAAACACAAACAAAAGAGCCACAAGATCAACTAACATCAAAAGACGAGGCAGGAGAAGGTAATGCAGGATGTGTTTGTTCATGCCTTTGATCAGCTGCAAAATGCATTTGCCTAATGTTGCCAATGCTTTTCTCTCCCTCTCTCTCACTCTCTCTGTGTGTATGTTTGTGTTCATGTTTCTGCGTGTGTGTTCGTTGGTGCATGTGTGTTTGTTTGTGTGTACTTGTGGTTGTGTGTCTTTCTGCCGATCTGCGTGAATTTTTGTTTCCTTATGTACGTTTGTGTTTGTTTATTTGTTTGTGTTTGTGTGTCTGTTTGTTTGTGTGTCTATGTGTCTGTCTGTCTGTCTGTCTGTCTGTCTGTCTGTCTGTCTGTCTGTGTGAATGTGTGTTTGTGTTTGTTTGTGTGTTTATTTGCGTGTCTGTCTTTCTGCCTGTGTGTTTGAATGTGTGTTTGTTTGTGTGTGAGTGTGTGTCTGTCTGTCTGTCTGTCTGTCTGTCTGTCTGTCTGTCTCTCTGTGTGTGTGTGTGTGTGTGTGTGTGTGTGTGTGTGTGTGTGTGTGTGTGTGTGTGTGTGTGTGTGTGTGTGTGTGTGTGTGTTAACGTGTTTGCTTGCTTGCTTGTGTGTGTGTGTGTCTTTGTTTGTGTGTGATTGTCTGTCTGAACGTGTGTGTGTGTGTGTGCTTGTTTGTGATTGTATGTCTATTTGCCTGTCTGTCTGTCTGTCCGTCCGTCCATCTGTCTGTCTGTGTTTGTGTGTGTGCGCGTGAACGTGTGCTTATTTGTGTGTTTGTGTGTGTGTGTGTGTGTGTGTGTGTGTGTTTGTTTGTTTGTTTTTCTGAATGTGCTTTTGCTTGTGTGTATTTGTGTGTCTGTGTGTGTGTTTTTCTGGGTGGATGTGTGTGTTTGTGATTGTGTGTCTGTGTTTGTGTGTCTGTCTGTCTGTCTGCGTGAATGTGTGTTTGTTTGTTTGTGTTTGTCTGTGTGTGTGTGTGTGTGTGTGTGTGTGTGTGTGTGTGTGTGTGTGTGTGTGTTTGCGTTTTTGTGTCTGATTGTGTGTCTGTATGTGTGTCTGTGGGTTTGTGTTTGTCTGCCTGCCTGCATACATGTGCTTACCTTTGTGTTTGCATGTGGGTGGGTGTGTGTTGCATATGTGTGTTTATGATTGTGTGTGTGTGTCTGTCTGTTTGTCTGTCTGTCTGCATACACGTGTGTGTTTGCATTTGTGTTTGTGTGTCTGTGTGCGCGTGCTTGTCTGTGTTTGTGTGTCTGTTTGTGTGTTTTGTGTGTGTATGTGTGTCTACGATTGTCTGTCTGTCTGTGTGCACGTGTCTGTGATTATGTCTGGGTTTGTGTATGTATGTATGTGTGTGTGTGTGTCTGTTTGTGTGTATGTCTGTGTGTGTTTCCCTTTATGTCTGTGATTGTGTGTCTGTATGTGCGTGTGTGTGTGCGTGCATGCACAGGTTTGCTGACATTCACAGGAGCGACGCCAAACAGGAATCATCCATCAGCCCCCACACATGTAGTGTCCATCCCTTCATCCCGGAGCTAAAGATATCCGCTGCCCTTCTCTCCATCGTTCCCCAAACTGCAAGCGGAAGCCGTGTTTTGGTTCCATTCAATCAAGCTTCTCGACGGTTTCACGCAGGTCATCGAGTCCCAGCAGTCCGCCATAATCTCACAACAAGAGGACGTGTGTGACATTTCCAACAGAACCCTTGACACAATTGAACTGTTTAAGTTTCCATCTCCAAATGCATTCGCTTTCGGACAGAGAAGACAGTTTGCGCACCACTGAATGAGTTTAAAAAGGCTGTTTACGAATGACTCCAACTACAGCTTCAGAGAAAATTCCATGGATGACCTTAAAAGATACACCGGAGATCATCTGTAAAGGAATAAGGTGTAATTACGGAAGAGAAAAGCAGCAGATGACTGACGTATCCTGTAGATTTGACCTCACACGGTTTTACCATATGGATTGTGCGCCGCTGAGCTCGGAGAATAGCAATGCACTGATGCCGTCAACTTTAATCATGGGTGATTTAAAGATTAGCAAACAATGTGTGGATGTCATCTGTCCCTTCCTCTCTGGGGCGTCTCTCTATCTCTTTCACTCTCTGCTTTAAATGTCTGTCTCTAAATCTCTAATGGATATATCATTTCTATCAATACTTTATTTTGACTGTAAATTGACACTTGGAGTGTTGAGTTAGATAGGAAATAAAGGGTGTGTCCATGTAAATGTGTACAACGCTTTGAGAAGTCTCTCCATGGGCCGAAGTCAACGTGAAATCATTATGCGGTGTGTTTAGTTTGTATAGAAACGATGTTGCAATCAATTTATCAATGAGTAAGTTTACATGGACACCAGTTATACGAATTTAATATGATTAAGACAATACTCTGATTAAGAGTCTATCATGTAAACAGCGTTTTTTTTTTTTTTTGGTCACGTTATCCGACTAAAGTCATAACTGAACTAAACAGAAATCGGATTAAGACGTGGAGTATGCCGATTTTAGTCACATTATGAAAGTGCAGTATTGCAACTAGGGGTGTAACGGATCAACAATTCACAGTTCGGAACGCACGTGAGCTGCGGATCAATAACTTTTTTGAACTTGTAGGTATATCCAACATTTATAACAACTGCAAATAGATCGCCTCCCGCCTCATTCAAATCATGTGTATGAAAGCTGTCACATTCGGTGGAGGGGAAAAGGAGAGAGGACTCTTTTATTTATAATAAAATCATATAAAAGGCAAAACAGCAAAATAAACTACATAAATAATGTAGCTTATTACTACGTTATTAAGTAAACATTAATAAAACAAACAAAAAAATTAAGAAAACAAATTTAGAAAACATTAATAAGACAAACAAACTTGACTGGGCAGTCTGGCAGGGATCAGGGGTCTGTTCTTCGGACATCGCTTAAATTATCTAAGATGATTTGGCAGATCCTGGATCTTTTAATCTTCACAACTGATCTCTCGCTAATTTGGTTCTTTAAACAAGTTCGCGAATCAGATTAGAATGTCTGGATAAACTGATCTGAGATCGCTGCGTGTGTTGTGAAGGACAGATCTATCGATCCTCGAAATGAAGATCAGCAATGCCATGATTGGCTGAGGGCACAGCAGCATGACGACATCATCTGATTAATATTCAATTATCCATGTGAGCAAAATGACGTCAAATTAGCAGTAAACGGTTCAATGCAAATCGATGTATTTAGTTCTACATTTAAAAAAAAATGTCCTTATTATAGTAGCCGTTTTTTTTTAATCGTGTAAAGAATAACTGGTTGTTTACAAAAGCATTTTGATATTGGTAAAGGCGTCTGCAACTTTTGTGAAGCATCAAATCACTGGTGTATTAACTGTCAAAACATGTTTATGACTGCATAAATCTATTATTGCTTTTAAAAAAAGTCACATATTGTGCATTTCTTTTATACACAATTTGTTCTAAAGCGATCTAAAAAGTTCATATCAATACGTTTTCTCTTTGCACCACCAGGTGGCAGTCTTTGTACTTTCATTTCGAGGGTGTAGATTGCATAAGTTTTATTAATATGTATAACTTTATTTATTTTATTAATAACTATAACTTTATATATATATATATATATATATATATATATATATATATATATATATATATATATATATATATATATATATATATAGTTAAAAAATATTTACCATTTTCCCAAGTGTATATAACTACTACTGTAAGAAAATATCAGAATTCGGTACAAACTTTCTGTATTATCTTTGCTTGAACTGAGCCGATCTAATCCTGTTTATATGAATTGAACCTACTCCCGATCAGGTTTGACCTAGCAAAACTGTTACTATGACAACAATTCTCAGATCAGCTTTAAAGAACGACACGATCCTGGGTCATGTCAAATCGTCAATATCCAAATCCAGCTAACTGAGTAATCCACGTACGAAGAACGGACCCCAGGACTGGAAACACAACTAGACAGGGCTATAAACGACGACGAACTGGGACAGCAGACATGAGGAGAATATAAGCAGAAATAATTCACACATAAACAGGTGAACATAATAAACTAATAATGGGTTAACAAGGAGGGTGGGATTAGACAATAGACAGAAGAGCACATGACACAAACAACACAAGCCATGTGCTCACATAAAACCAGACTAGAACACGCAGCCAATTAGATAACTCATTAACCGCGTGTTCGTATGACAACACTAAAGCTAAACACAACATCAACAGAAGATTGAACGCGAGACACGAGTACACGATGAATAAAAACACTCACTGTACACTCACACATGCAGCATGCATGTTTTATCCCAGCGCCAACCGAAACCAACTAGACTGACACGCTGCGAATGAAACATCACGCTAACACCAGGACGAGAGCGCACAATCGCAAACACGCCCAGACCCCACGCGCCCACATCAAGCGGGAGGTGCACAGTTGCGTAGCGGACGTGCCCGCAGGGAACGCACCGCTGGGGGGCCCCGCGTGATTAGGGGGCCCCGTGTCGTTGCGATTTTCAATAATTGAAAATCCGGCAACAGCAATAATCAAACTCTTGGGAACAACTGTGGTCGGAACCAAAGTTCACAGGTCTGTGTTCTCTAAACACCTCTCAAGCGGTGGACTACTTCATTCTGATTGCTTGCCGCCAATGTTGCCAACTTAGCGATTTTTTCACTAGATTTAGCGGCTTTTCAGACTGCCCCTAGCGACAAATCTAGCGACTTTTTTGTGTGTTATTGGAGATTTTTTTTAGACTGTCATTTGTCCATACTGTACCGTCCCTACTCTTCTCAACGAGCTGCGTGTGATGCTGCCGGCCCCTCCCCCGCCTCACAGCACTGACAGGCAGCCCAGTCAGTCCTCTACAGCAGCCTCTCCCACCTGCAGCCCGAGAGCAGATCACCCCTCTGCGTACCGACGACAAATGATTTAGCACAGGCAGTGTGAAGGTATTTCCCTTGTACAGTCTAACCGATCTGCTTCTCCTTTATGTTAACAATTTAATTGGACCGTTTATTCTTTTCTTGTTCACAATCACAGATATTTTAGTGACAGTTTCTGAACTTGTCTGAGTTTATTACATATGAGAGATTACTGCACATTCACTACACATCTATAATGACATACTGTATTCAAACAGCAATAAATTTAGTTAAATAAACGTGCTTATATAAAGTGTAGTGCAATTATAAATACCCCTTTAGTAACCATAGACTGTTAAACAAACAGAAACGGTAGAACGTGATGACGTCAGTGATATGCAAATTGACGTATCCCCCCCCCACACACACACACACTTCATCAGGGGGCCCCGTCAGCGATCCCTGCAGGGGGGCCTCCGCATGTTGCGCTACGCCACTAAACGTGCATGGTCCAAGTGTGCTCACAAATGGCACTCATTCGCTTGTTAAGTGTGACGTCACACGAAGCGGTTTCCGGGTCCAAGCTCTCTATCAAACTGTATAGTGAGACTCATGAAATGGTAATAATAAACATTTACTAAGCGCTGTAATACTTTCGAAAATCATGATTGCAGTGTATATATATATATATATATATATATGCATGCCCAATATCAGATGGCCAGAAAGTGATACAATTTTTTTATGAACTGTTAAAATTTTGGTATTTGTGATGCAGCAAGCCCAGAGATTGTTGTGTGCACTATGAGGGTCACACTTTACAATAAGGTTCATTAGTTAATGTTAATTAATGCATTTACTAACATGAACAAACAATGAATAATACATTTACAACAGTATTTGTTCATGTTGGTTAACATTAGTTAATGAAAATACAGTTGTTTATTATTAGTCCATGTTAACTCATGGTGCATTAACTAATGTTAACTAGCATGGACTTGGATGTCAATAATGCATTAGTAAATGTTTAATTATGATTAATAAATGCTGTACATGTGTTGTTCATGATTAGTTCATGTTAGTAAATGCATTAACTAATGAACCGTATTGTAAAGTGTTACCACTATGAGTTTATATAAAATTCCCTTTAATGTGGGACATGAATACAAAGTGATCATAAACAAACATTTTCCCAATTAAAATGAGTGGCGGCTTGGACCCGGAAACAGTATTGCAAACATCACTAACACGTCATCACTTAACAAGTGGATACAGATACGCACACAATGACAGAAAAGCAGTGCTCGACCCAAGAAAACTCGAGTCGAGCACAACACAAGACATGACAGGACTAGTGTCTGGACGCTAAAACAAGAATTAACAAGATCAGAGGGGCAGAATCCTTTTTGGCTTCCCTGTAAAATATAATGATGATGGGAAAAGTTGTGGTGGGACCTACCTAAATGCTTTCTAAGGTATTAATTAAAGGTGTTTTTCGTCAAAGCTTGTTTAGCCTGCATTATTGCAATCAGTGTAAAGCTGCACAATTAATCATTAAAAGATTGTGATCTCAATTCAAACCTGCCTAACATAAATGATAAATGATGATGATTTGCTTATGTTTATTAATCCTTCTAAGGGCTGCATTCAAATCCGTGTTTGATCGAGAGAGATTCCATTTTTACACTTTTTCAGTTCGTTACAAACAATTAAACAACACAGAAGAACTGGGAGAACAGTGTATAGTTCAGTTATAAACACTGATGTTTATGCTAAAGAATAAAATCAATGTTTAATGGAACTTGACGCTGGTGAATGTTGTAGCAATTACCTTGTGTAACCAACAGGAGGCGACAACCAACCATTAAAATTATGTCTGAATAGGTTTTCAGAAATTATCCACCTACAGTATACTGAGACAAGTTTTATGTTTGAATTGTTGAATCATTCATTGAAAATAAATACGATATGTTGTACAAGATTTTTATATTTAGCTCTATCAGCAACAGTAGCAAAGATCTTATTTCGCATTGAAGATTAAAATTGCAGGTTCTAAATAATGTTTGTTAAAACCAGTGGTTTTTGCAGTAATATTTTTGTATAAATAGATAGCAAATGACATTTGTCTCCTCCCTTTTTTTGCTGATATGAAAAATGGTCTGATCTGTGACTCAAAGACTGTAGTGTGATCCGAACCGTGAGATTTGTGATCCGTTACACCACTACTTACAACATAACCAAACAATAACCGTCGTGTAGGATTTTCACTGCATTTTGTGCCAGGAAAGTCACACGGCTCTTTGACACTATTCTCTGCACCTAAAGAGTCAATAAAAACCAGAAACGCCTGCATC